TTGGGGTAAGTAAACAATCAATGACTGTGTGTGTGGCTTATTGCTTTTGCTTGTTACTATGGTGTGCATTTTTGTGTTTTCATGTTGTAAACCACCCTGTGATCTTTGGATGAAGGGCGGCATGGGAATTCAGTAAATAAAAACAAATAAAACAAATAATTTTGCTGTAACGTCACTTTAAATAGGCCTATTGTGTTTTGCCAGCAAAATGTTTTAATCTGCAGGACCCTGGATTTATGTTATGTTTCTCCTGGCAGCTACAAATCCGAGCAAATATTGCCACTCAAATAGTAACCAAATCTGCTCAGGCTTTGTATTGAGAATTCGTTTTTCCTTTCAAAGCGTTTGGCCTGGTTGTGTCTGTTTCATCACAGCCAGAGGGTGATGGATATCCCACCTTCCCTCTTAATCTATCACAGTTTCGCAAGTCCAGAATACATTTCACATGTTGTCAGCATGCTGCACCAAGGCTATACATTTGCAAGTATGTAATTATCAGCTGGCTGGTAAATCGTTGCCCACCCCTACCCTCCCCTTACATAAAAACAACATATTTCATTCATAGTGATAGTGCTTAATATTGTGTTTAATCAAATATGATCAATGGTGCCCGCCTGCTGTTGCAGCTGTTGATAAATGCACAGGAAGTGTACTTTGAAACAAGGGATGTAAAGTATTTTGTAAGTAATGAGCATCATATTTATTGACATCATATTTGGGATGTAAATTTCGTGTTAGGTGAGGGGTAGTAACTCTGGTGGGGGACACACACTGTGCTCCTTCTGGGGTAGTTTGTCCACCTTTGGTCTCTACCCTGCTCTCATCTCTCACCTGTGACTCCTAGAAGCTGTCAGCATACGACAGCAGCCACACCCCGGGAATGGCTTCGATTGGCCATTTAAACGAAGTGAGGGTAGCTGATGGGTCTCAAATCCATGGTTGAGTTAGGGACTTCCCCTGCATGCTTTGACCAATTGAGCAGACGAGACCAATGCTGGTGTGCTGGTCCCAAGGGTTAACTGTGTGGCGAGGTCCGAGTCCAGTCCGAGGTCAAGGGTGCGGTATGGAGGCTGTCCGTCAAAGCTGAAGCGGGGTCCAAGGCAGGGAGTCGGGTGAGGTCAGGAACTCTGGCAGAAGAGCAGGGCAGGGTGCAGGCAGGAACAGGCTACCAACAATGTTGCTCCCGCAACTTGGGACTGGGGCTGGCTGGCTTTTATCTGCCCCGAGGCATAGGGTGGCCCCAGTCCACAGGTGACTTGCCTCTCCTGGCCTGGAGGCGAGCACTCTTCCTGAGGGAACTTATTTCCCTCCGCCTCTCTGCCCTGAGCCTCTGCAGCTCAGGAGAGGCTGGAGGGTTACCGGACCCAGAGGCAACCTCAGCTTCCCCTGACGGGGCTGAGAGTGGAGCACCTGCAGGCAATGGGTCCTCCATCACCTCAGGAGCCAGAGCAGACTCAGCTGGTGCCTGTACCTGAGGATCCAGCACAGGTGAGGGCCCTTCAGGCTCAAGCCCCAGCCCCGGCTCAGCTGGTTCTGGAGGCGGGGACTCCTGTGCGGGCTGGGATTCCTCAGGTTCAGCTACTGAGTCTGAATCCCAGGCCATCACAACTGGGTTCACTGGTCAAGAACACACGTGGTGTGGAGGGAAGTGAGAGGCAGTTGGGGCTCATCAACCAGGAGAAAGAAAACTCTGACCCTAAACATCCGCTGCCTTGTGGGCTTTCTTCGGGAGAAGGAAAGACTAAGGAGCAAATCCTACACAAATCCGACGTGGAGTCCCCAAGATGGTTGGTTGGCACCTTGTACACCTCCTTCAGGAAAGTCCTGAAGCCAAGTTGGTGCCGAATGTATTGCTCTGCTTTCCTTTGGACCACATCATTGAGGTCGAGAGCGGGGTCTTGTTGTCTGGGCAGCCCAGGACCTCTATACACACTGGGGAGGTCACTTCAGTGCCCCTAATGCAGTGGTCTGACTTCACCCCGAGAGGCACATTCCATTGTCTCTCGAGACAGATGGGTGCCAACAATTTGAGATCAGACTTTCCTGCCAGCTATTTCAAAGAGCATATTTCTGCCTGAGGAAACTATGAAAGTGAACTTACTTTAGTGGAGATTTCTCAGGCAGTATGCATTAGGGATTTAGCCTTCCCTCTTATTGGTTTTTTTTTATACCAATACTTTTTTTCCAGCAGAAGAAACACAGTTTGCTTTCCTACAGTGAAGGCTGGTTGCCCACAGAGCTATGGGGGCAGAATGCAGGGAGGCTAACAGTAGGTGGTGCCAGAGTCAATGACAGACAGAGGAAACCAGCCCTACTTTGGCCCTCCCTGCAGTTCTACACAAGGGTTTAAGAAGGAGGAAGCCAACCATAGCTAGAGCCACCCCCTGGACTAGTTGTGTGTAAGAGAAATTGAACTGGGATGCAATTTCATACCACTGAGATAGCTCAGTTAATGCATGAAGGGGTTAAGATTGTAGAGTTCTGTTCCTAGACTTGGCTGGGTCATGCCCCCTCTTCTCTGTAAGGAAGTGAAGCTGCTTCTATTCCCATTCTCTTACTCTCTCTCCACACCATGTAACCAACCAAGACGGACATGTCTGAAGTTGGTCCAAGTTCAGATTGTATGTTTGAAATACATTCTGCTTGTTGCACACAAATAATCTACTTATGTTATCCTTGCTGCTGCATGGAATAACACATGAACTTGGCCTTTGGATTTAATAAGAAAAGCTGCTAAGCTTTTCAACAGTGTGTGGCCTGTTCATTGCTAGAGGGGTAGAGAGAGGGGCAAGAGCTTTAAAGCAGACTAAACAGGATATACAAAAGGGCTGAACAATCTATATTCCACATTTTGCTGATGCTTAACTCCAAGAGTGTTTTAAACTATGGGCTCTGTCCTGCTGGAAAGTGTGCAAAGCCCCACATTTTGAATCTAGACACTCAGCTAATTCTTTTTTTAATTACTCACACATGGGTCAGCTCTATTTCCCACATACACAGAGCCTTAACCCATGAAACAAGACAAAGGGCAAAACAATTTTAAGCCATTTTAGTAGATCTCCTTGGAAAATCAGGAATGAGTTTTTCAGCTCTCCCTACCACAAATTTTGACACCATCCCAAACTATTACAATGAGAAAGGATAACTAGACATCCCTTCTGGATTCTTCCATATGCTCAGATAAACATATGGTATGTAGGCTGCATTGAGCCCACCATACAACATTCTCCTCCCCTGGCTCAGGAAGTCTTTGCTAAAATGATGAGAATCTTAGCATGCCATGTTTCTGAAGCCTCACATTTTCAAGGAAAGGTCATGAAGCAACTGGTGCCAGGATTACAGCCTTTCACCCTCAGCCCAAAAGACTCCTGTTGCTTTTGATAGGTGGGTGTTTCACTGGCTATTGTTCTGTCACTCCGGCAGAGCGACTTAAACCATTCCAGGCAGGTTTAAGTAATACAAAAAGGGAAGGCAGAGGTGAAGAGGGGTAGCAGAAATGAGAAGCAATTGTACCAGAGGGAGCTGCGAGGGAAAGAGAAGGAGCCACTGTTTTGCAATCTGAAAAGATAGATGGGGACTCAGTTCACATGCACACAAACCAATTTTAGACTTTCAGTTATGGATACATGACTGGTAACGTAACTTGTGAGCCAAGTGCGATAAATACCTTGTAACTGCACCATCCCCTACATACTGATTGCTGTGTTCTGCGGGAGACAGCATCCTGCAGATAACACCCTATAATAGAATCATGGAGTTGGAAGGGACCACAAGGATCATCTAGTCCAACCCTCTGCAATACAGGAATCTTTTGCCCAACATGGGGCTCAAACCCACAACATGGAGATTAAGTGTCTCATGCTCTACTGCCTGAGCTATCCCATCTTCAAGGGGTCCTTTGTCAAAATTGGGCCTTTAGGGTGGTGGCACCTACTCTTGGGGACTCCCTCCCACTGCACATTAAACGGGCATCTTCTCCATTGGCTCTTTGGCACCTGCTAAAGGTGTTCATTTTCCAACAAGCCTTCAAAAATCTTTATCCCAGTTGCTATCAGTTCTGGATCTGAGTTGATTTTATGCATGTGTTGCTCTTTTAAACTGTTTATATTTACTACCGACGAAAGTAGAATGGAGGGTGAAATTGATGGACTATGCAGAATTAGATAAATTAACAGGAAGGATTTGAAACCTGTGGGACCAGAGATTCTTAGAAGACTGGAGTAAATATATGAATTATCTGAAAAGTAATTGTGACAAACAGATTACGCTAGTAGGTTTGCAAGAAGTTTTGTAAGGTGGACTGTTTGAAATATTGCATGAAAGACTATGAGATGAACTATTAGTTAATGATAATTAAGAGTAATAGAGAAATTAAGAAATACAGAATAAGTGATAAAGAACAAAAAATCATCAGAGGTGTTGATGGAAGTCTAAAACATTGTGTAAGATGAAAGTTATGTTATATGACTATTGGAACTGAAATGTTAACAAATCAATAAAAATGTATAAAATAAATAAATAAACTGTTTATATTTACAGTTTTGTTTTGTCTTTTTAAAAAAACCACACTGTTTTTATTTGCAATTGTTTTTAACAGTTTTTATATATGTTAATTCATCTACAGATGTCATTATATTGCAAATTGCTCCAAGCTACCCCAAGGGAAAAGGAGAGGAGCAGATTGTTTAAACCCAGAAGTCTTTATAACAGCAATTGAAGATGGATGTCTCAACCTCCTCATCATAATCACTGAACCAGAGGATGACCGGACATAGATCACCCTCAATATAACTTCCAATATTACATGGATAACTTCCAAGTCATCCTCAGGAATATCCAGCAATGGTGTGGGGACTCTTGCGTGACTGCAATTTATTTCTATGAGGACTGCAGAGGAGAAAATTATTTATGAATTGTGCTCTCTATTTTCAAAGGAATGTCTCACTCTTTGAAGAGATAAACATGAAAAGTCACCAAGAAGAATGCCATTTGCCCAGCAGTTTTCATCCCAGCAGCTTTATGGCAAAAATGTTATATTTATTTCAAAATACACTACTCAATGGATACACATCACCACCAGAGCCCAAACCACCCAAAAAGTTAGCAGCGTTTTTTGCAAGTACAAAAATACACATTTATTTCAGAACATATACAATAGCAAAGTTTTATCAATATATATTATACAATCCTAAATACAATTCACAAGGGAAAGAAAAATGTAATATCCAAATTAAACACAATAAGGAGATGCACACGAAACTTGGGAGTTGTAAGTTATAGGAGGGCAGGATTTATGCTTCAATTAAAAATGTCCCTTTTTTTTGCTGAAGAAAATGACTTCTTCTTTCCTCTTGATTGTGCATTTTACCACCTCCACTTACACTGAATATTTGCCATAGCAGTGAAAAGAGAGCGGGGGTCTTCAATCCATCTGAGATGGGTGTAGATGCATCAGAGTGCTGTCGTGATGGAGATTTGTGGCGGAAGCCCACAGAAATGGACACTGGCTGAGATTTGCTTGGCAACTTGATTTGTTGTGGAAGATTTGTGGAAGGTCATGGGGTTATGGGGATTGATGTGGGCAAAGATGATCCAGAAAGCCATAGCAGTGAACAGAGAGATGGTGTTGAGAGCTCATTGAAGACCCTGAAGGGGAGGTGGCCAGGGACAATAAACTCACCCTTGAGCAAATAAGTAGAGGTGGTGAGAGAAGGCAGTTCGATCCATCAGAGATGGGTGTAGATGCATAGCCTGATGTGGAGCACAGAGACTCATTTTCAGAGTGGGCCATACACCTTGGAGCTTTTGGCTGAGCAAAGCAAGGAAGGGGAAGAGGAAGAAAGCTCTTCGTTTCCCCCTTCCCCTAAAAGGCAGCCTTCCTCCCTTAATCGAAGTGCTGAACATAGACCCAAGCCAGGTGCTGTCTTCAGCACTGATGGTCAATGGGTCATTGATGGAAACTTAAACGAAACTCTGCCTTAAGAGTGAAACGGCCTTAAAATAAATGTTTCGAATGTACAGGAATGGATCAGAGAAAAACTGAATCACAAGCACGTGTATAATTATTTGCAAGTGCTGTAGAATCAAGAGTTTCTCTTAAGGCAGATGTGATATATAGAATGTTATAATGGGAGGAACAAGAGGAACTTCTTGAGGGTGGACCTGCCGAGGGAGGAGCCAGTTGGAGCTTTGTAATAAACTAGGTGGTTTTCACAACTATTTTTCTTTGCTTGAGGGCTTCTGTCATCGTACAGTTTCTGACAGAAAAGAAATGGAGATGGTGAGAGAAGGCGGTTTGATCCATCTGAGGTGAGTGTAGATGCATCAGAGTGCTCTCCTGATGGAGATTTGTGGTGGATTTGGGGGGGGGGGGTCCTCTGCTTCTGCAATGTGACACCATGGCAATCCAAGAGTCATAAAGGCAAAATGCCAGAGATGTTTCCACACTTTCTTGGTGGTCCACCTTGGATCAGGGGTTGGCTCTTTCCCTGGCCTGCGTGAAGAGAGTCTGGAGTGGCCTCCTCACAAAAGCCCTGCTCATCTCCACCCCAGCATGTGGCTAAAAAGCGGAGCCTCCACCATGAAAAGCTGGACACTTCCTGCTTGGAGGCTCTTTCCCTTTTTTGAAGAGACACTTATCCTTGACTTCCATTGGACCAAACACCTTGGAGCTTCGAAAGAGCAATACGATACCATAGCTATGGATCCCAGACTGACCAAAACTCTGCCTTAAAATCAAGAGTCAAGGATAAGTGTCTAAAGGAAAGGCTGCTGAGCTGCCCAGCTCCCTCAGAAGAACTACTCTCCTGGCATCCAAAGGATACGCTTGTGACTCCAAGGTTATTTTAACGGGACAGTTCTTTTTCTCGTTCCATGGTGGAGGCTCTGCTTTTTAGCCACATGCTGCGGTGGAGACGAGCGGGGTTTTTGTGAGGAGGCCACTCCAGACTCTCTTCACGCAGGCCAGGGGAAGAGCCAACCTCTGATCCAAGGTGGATCCCCAAGAAAGTGTGGAAATGTCTGTGGCATTTTGCCTTTATGACTCTTGGACTGCCATGGTGTCATATTGCAGAAGCAGAGGACCCCCCAAATCTGCTGCACCTCATCAGGAGAACACTCTGAAAGCGAGTCTGGGTATGTCCTTTTATGGCTGAAGAAAATGACTTCTCCTTTCCTCTCGATTGTGCATTTTACCACCTCCACTTACATTGAATATTTGCCATAGCAGTGAAAAGAGCAGAGTTCCTTATATTTCTCACCCCAGCTCTGTGATCAGTGGGTTTCCTTAACTCAGGCAGAGTTTCATTTAAGTTTCCATCAATGACCCCCCCCCCATATCCGCCACAAATCTCCATCAGGAGAGCACTCTGATGCATCTTAAAAATGAGATCAAGAGAACAGGAGTAGGGACTCCATGTTGACCCTGAGTGACACTGATTTGGACCCGCCGGAAGCAGAGGACACCCCTCCCCAAATCCACCACAAATCTCCATCAGGAGAGCACTCTGATGCATCTGTAGATGCATCAGAGTGCTCTCCTGATGGAGATTTGTGGCGGCAGCCCGGAGAAATGAGCACTGGCTGAGATTTGGTTGGCAACTTGGCAGAAGATTTGTGAAAGGTCATGGGGTTATGGGGATTGATGTGGGCAAAGACGATCCAGAAAGCCATAGCAGTGAAAAGAGAGATGCATCGAACCGCCTTCTCCCACCACCGCCACTTATTTGCTCAAGGGTGAGCTTATTATCCCTGGGTGCTTCCCCTTCAGGGTCTTCAATGAGTTCTCAACACTATCTTGGGAGCTCATTGAAGACCCTGAAGGGAAAGTGCCCAGGGATGATAAGCTCACCCTTGGGCAAATATTCAACTTAAGTGGAGGTGGTGGGAGAAGGCGGTTCGAGAGCATCAGAAATGGGTGTTGATGAATACCCAGACTCACTTTCAGAGTGCTCTCCTGATGAGGTGCAGCGGATTTGGGGATCCTCTGCTTCCAGTAGGTCCAAATCTATGTCACTCAGGGACACCACCTCTTTGCTCCCCTCCTCTTTTTTATTGAGGTTTGCGCAGTCATTCAATTCATTTTCCAAACTGTCGGATGAGGAGTCATGCAGACGAACAGAAGAGAGATCTGCAAGAGGATGAAACAGGTGTCAGCACACCCTCAGGTGTCACTCGCTCCATCAAAAGCAACATCACTTAATTAAAACATAAGCAGAATTTTATCCACTATTTTGCAGCAGGCGACGTATTTCTTAATCTAATATTCTTAATATTCTTAATCTAAATTTGGTCATTCTCACATCCATCCTGTGATGGTTCAGAACAGAGACAGAGGAGAGCGGACTTGCTGCAGGCTGCTCAGTCAGCTTTATGAGATTTGATCCCAGGAGCCTTGCATTCAGACCACACATTGCCCACTTCCCTGTACCATACTGTGACCTGGAGTACGTATTACAACCACTATGGAGAAGATGCCAAACAGGCTTCCTATGGAGTCCAAGTCAAAATGCTAGATAACCACTCTCACTCTCTCTCCACTTTACTTTTTTTAAAAAAAGTTTCTTTTACCTGAACTATCTTCTTGGTTGTCATTTTGGGGCATCATGGCTGCAAAGATGTAATTAATTTCATCCCCAAAAATCCTGCTTCCATTTTGAATCATAAACTCTATGAGGACAGAAGCCTGCAAGCAAAGAAAAATAGTTGTGAAAACCACCTAGTTTATTACAAAGCTGCAACTTGGCCCTCCCTTGGCCGGTCCACCCTCAAGAAGTTCCTCTTGTTCCTCCCATTATCACATTCTGTATATCACATTATGTAGCACATTGTTTTTAATTCTGGGGTTGTATGCTACCTACAAATGTGCACTTATGCAAATGCTTCTTTTACAGAAAGCATATATATGTATTAGCACAAACTTTTTTAAAGCAAATGAGCTTTCCTCCCAGTCCCTGCTGTTTCCTTGGCACAGGACAGGCTCTTTCCACAACGCCTTCCTCTTCTGCTTAGCGCTAGAACATTTCCCTTGCCTGCCTGCCTCCTGTCATCTGTTGTGTGCTCTCATTTCTGTGCCAGTTCTTTTCCTCCCACACAAATCCTCCTAGTTCAACCTGTTTGTTCTAGGCTGCCTCCCAAAGACTGGACTGGAATCTGAAAGTGCCCTATAAGAGTTATTGGATGCATATGGAAAGCAGGGTGGGATGACTGGTGCTCTTGACTTTAATAGCACCTAGCTAAACATCTGTGCGGGCATGTCTTTTCAGTTAACAAAAATAACATTTATTCATTTTTTTGGGCAAAACAGAGCACAGGAGCCACCACTGGCTTCAGGCAAATGCATGCATTCAACAAAATAATTTGATCCCCTCCTCTTCTTCTTTTTTTAAATTAAAACACTTCAAGCTGCACACCGGAAGCTGCACATTTGGCTACTTGTCCACAAACAAAAACTCTCTGCACAGAGGGGGAAATGTATTTCTCTCTTCCTCAAATAAAGATTTCTATAAAAATGTTGATTCCTTTTTTGTGTGTGGGAGAATATGCACACAAGCAAACTCTCACTGGCTACAGTCGAGGCAGAACTTTACTACTTGATTCTGTTAATTGTACAAAAGTAGTCTTAAAGCTAATGACAGATCCATCTAAGCTTCCTGTCTCTAGCAGAGACATTAAAAAGAAATGTGCATAGCTTTTGTCCTTTTTGCTACAACAGCACCTTGAAGCTGGGTGCTTGGGAGTGGTCAGTGTCATGGTGGTGGTAGGATTTCCTGAAGCGGTGCCCCTGCCCACATATTTCTGCTGCTTCTGGTGTTGGTTCACATGGTCCTACTGCCAGCAGAGGTTGCGTTCCTTGCTGCTGCCAGGGGTGGCTGGGTGGAGAAGGCTTTTTGTTCAGTGCTTCCTAGTTGCACCTCCAAAGGTGATTCCAGACAGAAGGCAGAAAGTATTACTTCCTATTCCTGACCTCAATCTGAGCCATGCAGTCACATTTTTTGTCCTCACACTAGTGTCTTGTGTGTAGAAGAAACTAGGAAGCACTGAAGAAATTGCTCCAAGTAAGCAGGTAGCGCAAATGGCACCAGGAGTGAGGCAAACTCTCCGCCACTATTTGCATCCCACCTCCCATCTTGCAACTGTGCCTTCCCAGTACAAACGTTGTACTGGGATTTTGGATCATCACAAGATGACAAATCTTCACTGTCTCAGTAATACAGGTTAGTAGTCAATCAAGGTTTACTCAGAGTAGACCCACTGAAATTAATGGACATATTTAAGTGAGGTCCATTAATTTCCATGGGTCTACCATATGTAAAACTTAGCTGAATACTGCTCACAGGCTCATCTGTTTCTTCAAAAGCAGCTGTGTATGACACCTAGCTCTAGAGGCGATCTCTGAAGAAGGAACAGGGTATACTATGGTACAGTGGTACCTCGCAAGACGAACGCCTCGCAAGACGGAAAACCCGCTAGACGAAAGGGTTTTCCGTTTTGGAGGCGCTTCGCAAAACGAATTTCCCTATGGGCTTGCTTCACAAGACGACAGCCCATAGGGAAATCTCCGGGACAGCGGGGAAGCGCAGCGCGTCTTCCCCGCTGTCCTTGGACCTCCTCCGAAGCCTGGTGGCGGGGAGGGGACACCTCCTCCCGCCGCCGCCGGGCTTCGGAACGATGCCCCGATGCCGGGCGGGGGGGGAACGCCTCCGCCACCGCCCGCCATCGGGACGATGCCCCGATGCCGGGCGGCGGGGCGGGAACGCCTCCCCCCGCCGCCCGCCATCGGGACGATGCCCCGATCCCGGGCGGCGGGGGGGGGGGGAACGCCTCCTCCGCCGCCCGCCATCGGGACGATGCCCCGATCCCGGGCGGCGGGGGGCGGGAACGCCTCCCCCCACCGCCCGGCATCGGGACGATGCCCCGATCCCAGGCGGCGGGGGGGGACGCCTCCGCCGCCGCCCGGCATTGGGACGATGCCCCGATGCCGGGAGGCGGGGCGGGAAGCCTGGGCGCGCTGATCTCAGCGCGCGCAGGCTTCGGCATGCTGGCACCTGTCCGCAAGCAGCGGCAGCGCTGCCGCTGCTTGCGGAGAGGTCCGCGAAGCCTGGGCCGGACAGCTTTTGAAGGCAGGCGGGGGGAGCAAAGATGCACGGTTTCCCATAGGAATGCATTGAAAATCTATTTATGTCCAGGACCTCTTCTGAAGGCTGGCGGGGGCGAAAGTCTTTGTCCCCCCTGCCTGCCTTCCCAGGGGCTTTTAAATCGCCCCGGACAGCGGAGAAGTCCTCCGCTGTCCCGGGTGATTTTAAAATGCCGCCCGTCAGCATTTTAAGATCGCCCCGGACAGCGGAGACGTCCTCCGCTGTCCCGGGGTTTTTTAAAATGCTGGGGGTGGGAAGAAAAGCCCTTGTCCCCCCCCCCAGCCTTCAGAAGAGGTCGGGGGACAGACTGTCCCCGGACCTGGTCTGAAGTCGGTTTCCCTAGGAACGCATTAATTGATTTTCAATGCATTCCAATGGGAAACCGTGCATCGCAAGACGAAAAACTCGCAAGACGAAGAGACTTGCGGAACGAATTAATTTCGTCTTGCGAGGCACCACTGTACTAGGTTAGAAACTTATGACGTTCCTCACCACCACCTCCCAAGTAACGCATCTCACCAGCTTTTTGGCCAGGTGCACAGAGCAAGACCAATGAAGTAGGGAAAGTAAAACAGGTAATATAATGGTGGAAAGATGTAAACGCTGGAGCTTAAAAAGCTGGGAAAAATCAGGAGCAAGGGATTTGGGTCTGAACTCACTAAGGTTGCCCTGCCTACACAGCAAATAGCTTAATTTTAAGGCAGACTAATTGGCCCTTCTGCCGCTTTATGGGAACCTCTAAGCAGAACTGCTTCTTAGCCTACTTTCATGGTGAATTCTTCTTCAGTCCAAGAGTTTGTGGCAGCCGGTAGCCAGAGTAAGCTGGGTCCAATGCACACTGCTAAATTGAACGCAGTCATCTTATTGTCTTCAGACTGCCTTTCTATGCTGTGTAGGACTCCAAACAGGTAACGCAGCAGCATCACATTGGCTCCAGGTAGTTGTTCCATTAGCCTAGCAACACACAAAACACAAAGCTCTTCAGAACACAAGACTGTTTGCAAAAATTACACTCAAGACTCTTCCTTCTGCCATTCCCCAGCCTAGCCTCCTAGCTATGCCAATCTGGAGCCCACTTCATGGTAAGTGGAAATCCACAAAGGAAATAAATCTCCCCACATTCTATTTTAAAGCACAGAGATCTGAACCGTGTATCTTCTTTCCTGCATGCCATGAACAGGTGAGATTATTGACCAGGGGACCAAAATGGAATGCTGAACAATCAAATCTAAATTTATAAGCTTGTCTGCAACAAGAACATTCTGCTTTTTTCTGGGTATTCGTTTTTGGAAGCAGCAGAGGAGGTTACACAAACAATTCTACCTGTGGGTGCTTTTTATCTTCTCTTCATCGTTCCCTTCATCCATTAAGGAAACCCACTGATCACAGAGCTGGGATGAGAAAACGCTGCCTGGGATATTGCGCAAAAAATCCTGAGGAAGAAGGAAGAAAAGTATGGATGAGCAACCATTTGTGGGAGACTGTTTCATAAGAAGTAAACCATGGAACTGCTGGAACAAAATCCCTGTAGATCATAAGATTGTCTACTAGTGCATCATTGAACAATTTTGGTCCTGTCTGAACTATTTTGATTGCTATGGATGAATTTGAATTATTCCTCACAGAGTAAATGAAACAGTAGCTGATTACTTCAATTAGCTAATTACCAAAGGTCTGTCTAGCCCAGCATTCTGCTTGCACAGCGGTCAACCAGATTCCTATGGGAAGCTCATGAGCAGGGCATGAGTGCAACAGCACCTTCACTGGTTTGAGACTGAAAAAATTAATCTGTTATCAGCCAGTGCAGAATAACAAACAAAATGCTGTCTCAAAGTCCAACACAGCCAGGGTAGCCTTATGCAGTTCAGCACCTCTTAGCCCAACCAACCTCCAAGGCTTACTGCACAAATCTATTTGGATAGCCCCTTTGAGCTCCTTGGAAGAAGGGCAAAATTCCAAAGGAGCAAATAAAACATCTCCTTATGTATTAAAAAAGGGTGACCAATGTGGTGCCCTCCAGCATGGCCTGGGATGATGGGAGTTGGAACCCACAACATCTGGAGGGTGTCATGGTGGCTATTCCTTCTTCCATCCATTAGCAAGTGTTTGGCATCAAGCACCTGAATTTTGAAACCTACCCCACTCTGAAGTTATCCTGTGGCCCCAGTTATCCCAGCTTACTCTCCCACGAGTAGCTCATTCTATTAGCTAACATTTCTTTTAATCTAGACACCACCACATTCCATTACAGAACATCCTGAAAGCCACCAGGAGGCTCTATGATAAGACACTTGCTCTGATTTTGGATTTGATATCCCGCTTTATCACTACCTGAAGGAGTCTCAAAGCGGCTAACATTCTCCTTTCCCTTCCTGTCCCACAACGAACACTCTGTGAGGTGAGTGGGGCTGAGAGACTTCAGAGAAGTGTGACTAGCCCAAGGTCACCCAGCAGCTGCATGTGGAGGAGCGGGGAAGCGAACCTGGTTCACCAGATTACGAGTCTATCACTCTTAACCAATACACCACACTGGCTCGCTCTCTCCTTACTAAGATGTTACATTTTCTTTAAAATTTCTAACAAGGTTTGTTTTCTTTTTTTGAAAGCTCTGTAAAATCACAGGACAGGGCAGGAATTTCTTTACCGTCCTGGCATCCCATCCCTACACTGTGGACCTGCCCATAGAGGAGAGTAAGAGATCTACCATGGCCACAACAAAAGGCTAAAGGATGGCTCAGTTATGGAAGAGAAGATCTGAATTGGCTGCCCAGAGGAAATCCTATTCTTGAGTCCAAAAATAGTTCAAGAATGCCCATGATCCAGTTTTTGATAAGATCAACACAGATGACTATTTTGGAAGTCTAACTTGGTTCAAAAAAAGAAACATCCTAGGCTACAGAATCCATAACATAAATCTTAGAGGGTGGCAGAGGGGATGAAGGAGGACAAATGCCTGTCTACCTTAAGCACAGAGGCTATCACCAAAATGGACTCGCTGAGTAAGTTCACTTCAGCTCCCGAATCAAGCTTCTCCTTTAGCTCTCTGCAAGATTTTGCACTTGCAGAACGTCGGAAAATGCCCTCAGTGAAAGGCCCCTCTTGGTTCAGGAAAGAAAGCATGTCCTGTTAAAGAAAAAGAAATATATATATGCATATTTAGGGTTGCCATATGTCCTATTTTTCCAAGACACGTCCCCTTTTTCACAGCTATGTAAAATGAATCATCATAGATAATCTTAAAAAAACCAAAGGGATTCTACTGAAGTTCAGTCACCAGTCACTGAATGTATGGGATACTTACAAAGATTGGCTTGGGCAGCTTGTCTGGCAGAGGGTGTCCAAATAGTTTCCCTTGGGCAGACGTTGGGGAAGGAGGAGCTTCTGCACCCCGCCAGAAGGCCCAGTTTATAGTGGATCTTTTCCTTTTAAGTGGCTTTTGGCTACACTCTGCAAGGAAAGAAAGAGGTTTCTTGTTACACTACACCACACAAATTCATGTCATATCCTTTATTTTCTTCTCTTTAGTGGTTGCGATGAACCAACCGTCTATCACACTATATGGTAACATGCATGGGTTTAAGAGGAATTCCTAGAACTGTGTTTAGCGATGGCTGCATTCATACGATGAAGGGCATATTTTAAAAATCCAGCTCACTAAGGCCTTCTCCAGATGGGCATTTTGCAGCTACATTCCGCAACATGCTCTTGACACAAAAATATTGCATTAGGATTGGATTTATTCAGCTTTATTCTGCTATACTTCCCCAATACTACAACAGTATTACTGTTGGGGGGGGTTAGTGCAATACAATGGGATCAACCCCGCTACCTCAAATATTTGTGGCATGAATAGTTATAGTATTTCAGTAGGAAATTACAGGACATGCACTTATTGCAAACAAAGCATATGACCACCCCGAAACTTTTGCAGGTGCAGGTAGTTTTTGTTTTCCCCCATGTTGCTTTCGCTGCATAGAGGGAAGGAGCACAGAAAGTCTATTTATGTCCAATGTAACTGTACAAAAAGGCGACCGCTTCTGATTGAAGCTTTAAAGTTCTGATAGTGTGCAGAATTTCAAATGCATGTACCTCCTCCAGCTCTAGCCACAAGCCCTTCCATCTCTCAAAGCCACCATCTTGGGAGTGTATATAATCTAAAAGGCAGACTAGAAACCCATCAAATAAAGAAATATAATAATGATAAAAAATGGCAGTGAGATCATTAGAACCAAAACGGTTCCCCATCCCTGGCCATGTTATACAGCAAAATATTGATCATGCAATATTACCCTTTATGATTTCAGGCAGGGGGGAATTGTTTTTGTTGTACAGCATGTAATTACAGAAGTTCGCTTTAACTATGGAAATGGGAAGAATACTTTTAGCTAAAAGCTTAAAAGTCAGTAGCACTTGACTGATAAATGTACTCTGTTTTAAAGCTTGTTTTAAACTTGTTTCCACAAAACATTCAGTGATGTAAAAATGAAAACAATACCAACTGTATAGCAGCCCGGTGAAAACTATCACTGCTAGGCTTGCTTTTGAATGCAAACTTTGGGGTAGGAGTTCTTTGCTTAATTGTATTTCCAAACCATAAGATCTAGAAACTTAACCATTCAGGAATCTGATGCTGCACTGGGCGGCAGTGTCAGCAATCACCTTTCTAACCTAAGGCCTCCAGACTCAGCAACCAGCTACGCCCTCTGTGTTACCATGGCAGCTGGCCAGAGGGGAGAACAGCAGTAGCAGTTATCTTCTTGGAACCAGAAGCAGTTGACATAACCCCAAGTTCACGAAGGCCCTGCTGATTTTCAATATGGTTGCATCAGGCAGATACTGTAGATATGTATAGCAGCGTTATGATCTGGGCAGTTTCACTTTCAACCCCTTTCTATGTGAGCTCCATGGAGGAGTGCTGGGTTGCAGCTGCTTAGCACTTTATAAGTTAAAACCAGCATTTGAAGAGAATGGGGGAAGCTGCGTAGGCAAGAGAAGACAAATGTAATTTGCATCAATGTAATTGGCATGAAATCGATCCAAAAATACTGGGTTGTATCCAACACTACAGCTCTACTGGTGCAGCAGACTTCTGTGTTTCTTCAGTTACTAAGATTTGAGACCAAATGACAGTGCTCAGTTGCCTTGTAAGAGACGGCTATATAAGTACTTGGAGGGCAGACCCTCTGCAATGATAAAATACATCACATGGATTGTTAGCAATATCAATATAAAAGACTGTGTGGAGAAGCGAATGTTGGGACATCTGCCTATGAATATTGAGGAGGTGGTGGAAACCTGCTCAGAAAGGAAAGGCTTCTTTTACACAGAATGGTTTGGATATATTTTTGTACTCAAGTTGTGACTTGGCCAGTTGACTGTGTCAAAAAAACAGAGCTGTAGAGAGTGTCTGCCTTGCAAGGCAATGCACATCCATTTTGGAAGCAACTGTCAATCTAATTCCTATGCAAACGTATTTCACACTGCTGGTGAATTCTGGAAAGCCTGGGCAGCTGCCATATGGCATCTCAGCAGGCAGAAAAGATGTCCAGAAGGAAGCACAATGAGACAAAGGAAGGTCAGGTTCTGTAACAAAAGCCAAAGACATCTGCAATAACATTTTTAAAAATAACAACCCACTGCTATATGCAGCTCCCAATACCCTCCTACTGACGTTTGTTTGTTTTTTATATATTAAAAAAATCAGATCAACACCTGCAGCAATAATGCAGCAACAGACTATTCTCTGGATTATGGACTGCTAACTTTTAACAATTGTAGAGGCTAAAGATAGCAAAGATATACAACCACTTCACAAAGCAACAAAGCCGGGAGTTTCAGATGCTTTGCTCAGATTCTTAAGTTTCTAGCCATCATTGTTTCAGGAAAAAATAATGAATATACAGTGGTACCTCGGGTTAAGTACTTAATTCGTTCCAGAGGTCCGTTCTTAACCTGAAGCACCACTTTAGCTAAGGGGCCTCCTGCTGCTGCTGCACCGCCAGAGCCTGATTTCAGTTCTTATCCTGAAGCAAAGTTCTTAACCTGAAGCACTATTTCTGGGTTAGCAGAGTGTGTAACCTGAAGCGTATGTAACCTGAAGCATATGTAACACGAAGTACCACTGTATGCACGTCCGGTAGGGTTTACTGAGCAATGCTTCTTATTGTAGCACTGAATAACCACAAGGGGGTGCTTCTGTTGCCAAACAACTCTGCAAAGAACAGAGAACAAACTCCTGATGAATACAGAAGAACAGGACCTACATTTTTCAGCCTGGCAGGAAGTGTCTACCCAGACCAGATGGAAAAGATAAGCTATAAAGGGTCATAATATGAATGTGGATAAGAAGGGGCAGTGTGTGGATGCAACAGAGATACTGGAGGTTCAGAGAAGCATTATATGAAGCTTGGATGTGGAAATTATCACCACCCCAAACAAAATAAAGAAGAGAATCTGAAAGAGGTCTTTGTAGAGGTCATAAGAGAGGCTAAATTTGGAAACTACTTCCGCTTTCACAAGTAGGGTGCCCCGGTCAATGCACTTGGAGCATTTTGCTGACTGTGATGGGTAAGAGAATAAACATGTCCTTTATACTTGCAAAGTTGCTTCAGAAATAGCAAACCATGTGGCAAGGAGCCTGGGCAGGAGGGCAGAGGAGGCAGGTGTCTTCTGTGACTTGAACAGCTATGCAATAATACACTCGCTTATATTAGATAGTGGCATTACATTCTGTTACGCAATGCAAAGCTGTAGTCCTGAAAACAGTAGGCAAAGTCTTCTATGTAGTGTTGCGTGCAACTCCAATCTCTAAGCAGCAAGAAAGTGCTGAGGCGCCTGTGCTTACCCAGGGTTCAGTTTCCATGGAATTATGGTCAGTAGAGATGGTGGTGTCTTTAGGATATAGGGTTTCATTTACCCATATACACAACCTGAGCACTGGCTGAAGGAGCTTGCAGCGTCAACACCCCAACAGAAGAAGAAGAAGAAGAGTTTGGATTTGGTATCCCGCCTTTCACTCCCTTTAAGGAGTCTCAAAGCGGCTAACAATCTCCTTTCCCTTCCTCCCCCACAACAAACACTCTGTGAGGTGAGTGAGGCTGAGAGACTTCAGAGAAGTGTGACTAGTCCAAGGTCACCCAGCAGCTGCATGTGGAGGAGCGGAGACGCGAACCCGGTTCCCCAGATTACGAGACTACCGCTCTTAACCACTACACCACACTGGCACAGATCTTGCTTCCCCACCAGGTTTCCAGGAAAGCCCCCGCAGCCACAGTTTGAGATCAGCACAAAGCAAGACATGCTTCTGCGTCCCCAGCTTTCAGTTTCAGCCAAATTCTTATACACACAACTCTCTCTTGCAAAGCCCCACCCCCTTGTCCTATTGTTCTCCATCCTAAAATGATGGTAGCATCCAGTCAGGTGAGATCCATTCATTTCTATGCCAACAGAGCCACCTCTTTGGATATAGTAAATAGCAGTACATAACTGGCCAACCAAAGCCATTATCTTAACAAAGGAACTGTTTTGGATGGTTCAGCAGCCTCTTCAACAAGATTATAAACAGGGCCTGGATGGGACCCAGCGTCTCATCCAGACTGCCCCACTCACCAAATTCATAACTGGAAGCTTATCTAGCATTTCATCTAGCAAACAAGCTTCCCCACCGTGACTGAAAGCGGGGAAAGGAGAGAGGTATTGGTGGGGGGCTAAGCAAGAGAAGTGAGTGGCTGCATTCACCACTGGCTCCGGCTCTGGCCAGAGTCTGTAGGCAGCCCTTGACAGCTTGCATCTGAGGGAGCGCAGTTCTCAAAAGAAGCCCATTCCCTCCTGTAGGCCAAAGTCATAGGAAGTAACAGTGAGAAGATCAACAGGAATCCCATGGGAACTGCATGGGCATTCCAGACCACCTTCCAGAACCCTCCTCTGCAAATGTTCAGGAGTTCCTCAACTCACAAAAAAGAGGTTCCAGAAGCCACAACCTCTGATGCAACACTGCAATGAGAGAGTTCAAATGTGCAGTCCATCCCCCATTCACCACCCCCTCATTTTAAGTATTGTTACTTCTCCAAGGCCCTCAAGAGGAGACCAGAATTGTGAATTGATGATATATAAATAAATTGCAAAAGTATGGATAAACCATTCAGGTAAGCCTTAAGAAATGTTCACTTATGGGGAAAAAAGGAGCAGAAAAAGGGACAACTAGACCCAATGTGTTCTCTCTTTAAGCCACGGAGGCCTTCTGAAGCTGAAGTAAGATTGCTTTCAACAAAAGCTCTAGTCATTCACAAGCACAGACTCTATAATGAAGAAATCTGGCCATTTCCTTGCGAGCTTTGGCTGGCTTCACATAAGCTTTGGTCTAATAAGAAAAGAAGTCTTAAAATACCCCCACCTCCACCTAACCCTGGAGTAGGAAGTTTGTTTGGCATGACCCCCTGTCTAGCCTGCCCCTGTGCTTCCTTTTGCCCATTCTCCAGGATGGATGCTGGCTTGTTACCACACAGAGTTAATCTGACAAATGTTCTCTGAACGAAGCAGAGAGACTCACCATTCAGCTCATGGCCAGTGGCCAGGCGCCTTGGCTTGATTACAAACTGGCACTGGCGCTCACGGGGCAGCTGCTCAATTAGGATGGCCTCCTGAACTTCCAGAGGGCAGACGCAGTCCTTTGATTCCTGGGTCTGAGGCAAAGTGTCACGAATGTGGCTCATTTTAATTCCGAATGGATACTCGTGTCCTTATCAAAGAAAGAGGAAGAGGGTTTAATTTTCACCGAGTGGCAGTCAGGCAACGAATGAGCACCCCCCAAGGATGCTGAAATGATATTTATTATCTCTTTAAAAACAATCAAAGAAATAAAACACACAGCAGCCTCAGAATAAGTGCGCTCTACTTGACATACACTACACTATGATCTCTGTGCAATGTTTCTTCTGATAAGACTCAATATCTGTTCTCCCTCATTTCCCGAAACCTTAGCTAGCAGTTTGGTGCTCATTTTACTCCCCTGATTTTAGACTGCTGCAGCATGACATGCCCCCAGGTTGGGGTTCCCTCTCCTCCACTGTATTCCTGGTTTTCCCTCTCCTGCCCTCAACAGTCAGTCACCATTGCATGGGCACTGAACACATTCAACCGCCCTTGGGCTGCTTTGGCTCCCAAGCCTTTAGGGTTTATCTAAATATTTATTTCCCTTACTTTGGCAAACTTCAGGGTTCTCCCAAGCCTGCTGTTTTGGCTGCATAAGCCGAAACATCAGAAACAGAAGGAAATGAAATGCCCCATACACGTGCATTTTGGCACCGGCCAGCCAAAGGATGTGTTTCTGGTGACCCAGTTGACCGGATGAAGCTTCAACATAGGGCTCCTTACCCTTTGCTGCAGAGATGGGGAGACTGGGGTCATACTGGCTGGGGCTGGAGGGAATTGGGAGCTGAGCCACATCTGGAAGGCACCAGGTTCTGCATCCAAGTTCTTAGTTTAGCTTCTTTTGCCCATTTACTTCCATCTTTCCCACCATAAGACCTTCTTGTACCCTTTAAGACAAGGTGCTGCCCTCAGGTGCAATAGAGGTCACTGTTCCACCACCAGTGCTGAAATAATACCTAACTGGCAGTCCTATAAAGTTCAGCATCTGGAATTGGGAGAGGTGAGGAATGCCATCTTGTCTGTTTCCCCAGGCACCCAAATGTTTCATTGCATTTAAATAGTGCTATTTTACTAGAAAAAGAGGTGCTGGAACTCAATTTGAACATCTCTCTTGTTCTTTTATAATGGCAATGGCGCCCACCTGAGAGGTGCCCAATCTGATTTCTGGCAAGTTCAGGCTGAAAAAAAGCCCTTCCTCTAAATTACATTTCTACCTCACCTTTTCTCCAAGGAGCTTAAGGTGCCATACATTGACCTTCACCCTCACAACAACTATGGTAGGCTAGGTTGAGAAAACATGACTGACCCAACATCACCCAGTGCACTTCATGGCTGAGTGGGGATATGAACCAGGATCTTCGCCCATCGCTTTAGCCACTACACTACACTACACTGCCCTGGTCTGGATCTGAGTATAGATCTGTCAACTGCTACTAGCCATGGTAGCTAAATGGAATCACCACGTAGACAAACAAGTGGGGCTGGTTGTGCGGCTACTTGGGAGCTTCCAGAGGCATCTGTCTGGCCACTGCTGAGTTGCACAGAGAAGTACATTTCAGATCACAACAAATATGAACAGCCGAGGCACTTTATGGCTCCAAAAGGAAAAGGAGATATTCCAAAATTAATTCAAACACATCCTGTCTAATGCTGGAATAGCACGCTTGATCACTTCTGTGAAACTTTGCAGAGGATTAATCATTTAAAATGTACTTGGAAGCTATGAAACCGGAAATCTGTTTGTGGGTGTAATGGGAATCAGAGAACAAAGCTGAAGTAACAAGGGCCACCAATTTGGCTTCTGATCTGCATCTGTGCAACTCCCACTGCATATCAAGTAGAGATGGAAACAGGGCTCTGGGTAAGCTTCTGGGGGATGTAAAAAAGGAGTATCACTTTAGTATCTGGCACAGTTTTAATAAGAGACAATTATGTTCTAACTTTCAGGGGAAGAGATTCTGTGAACTCAACGTCCTTCCATCTGCTTTCCAAGACTGTTCCTGATATTTTGCACCAACAGATATAGAATTAAGACTACGTGCAGAATCTAAGAAGACAAATGGGTATCTTTCTCGATTAAAATGTCCAGGTTATTAGTAATCAAGCAGTACTACTATTATTAAGAGCCTGTAACTACAATAGCTCTTAACTGCAAGGGTGGGGGGAGGATGCTTGGATTTCATTGGTCAATTATTTATCTTTAGTGATGTACTGGCAAACACACCACCATCCTAGACATTTTTACCTACCTAGTCTGCAGAAATAAAGAAGTGGATCTAGACCTGCATTACCATCCGTAGGCCTATGCCTCATGTAAGTTGGTTGTCATCTTCAGCGGAAAAGGACTAGCCACCCTCCCAAGGGAACTTTAATGGACTGATTTCATATTTGAAATCCCAAATGGAGAACACATAAAAATTGCTGGCTCTCCACAACCAAATTTGTGCAAGTAAGGATTGGGTTTCCTTTTGGTCTTTTGTGTGTGTGTGTTGCTTGCTTTTGGCTGTTGCTACGTGCTCACAAGCCCTGAGGAGGGGACAGGATAGAAAAGGAACTAAAAAACAAACTTCCCAGAAACTTACCAATAAGGGGATATGGAGCATCTTCTCTACCGGAATTCACCCAAAGCTGATATTCTTTTTCAGAGCCCTTTAAAAACACAATCACACAGGTATTGCAATTTGTTGTTTGTAATTCTATATTGAAGAAAACCAAATAAAACTAAAATAAAGAAATGCAATTCCACAGTTAAGGCAGCTCCTATTATACAGGGCAGTCACAGAAACTGGTACTATGCTTTGTGGTTTCCTGCTCCCAGGAGTATGGAAATATGCAGCAGAGTGGTATTAGGAGATGGGGTGTTTTATGCTAGGTATTACATAGGTGAAGGAAAGAAACGTTATGTCTTTGATGGTATCCCCATGGCTCTTGGTCTTCTTTAAAATACACGTCCTGCACCATGGATGCTACTTCAATACCATTGCAGGGTTCACTTCAGTGGCCTGCAGACCATGCAGGTTCTTTTCCCCACAGAATCAGTGCTCAGAGCCCAATGCAACTGTCCTGCTATTTATACACGTGGCTCTGTAATAGAGGACCACAGCTAATGGAAGGGACTCCTACAATTCAGGGCGTACAGCTTTGGCAATTTGTAACTCTGACCTAAGAAGCAAAACTAAGGCAAGAGGAAGGATCCCAAATCATTTCAGGCAGATCAAATTGCTTTACCCAGACTCCAGCTACAATCTTGGTCCAGAGCCCCACACTGTAGGTTTTGTACATATTGCATGAGTTCTTGGGCCAACTGAGGCTTTAGAAGCGGGTGGCTAAGTAGAAACAAGAGCCAAGCCTTCCTCTACACACAGATTCATGAAGGCAAAGAGGTGGATTGTCTTTTCTGCTGAAAAGAGATGGGGGGATTAAAACTCAGAAAAATAAATATATTTCCTCTGAGTCCTGTTAATGTTCATTCCCCCACCAATGATTTTTCCTGGTGGCCCAAGTTAGAGACTGCTATAGCTTTCTACTACCTATGGGATAATGTAAGCACACATCCGCCAATAATGCAAGTTGTTAAAGAGTACATTTTTTAAAATGACATCATGAATACTCACGTTGATTCCAAGTTGCTGCAAGGCCATGAGGACTATGTCACTTGCTGTGTCTGTGTTGTTTATGGTTAAGGTTTTTGACTGTTGGGGGAGAAAAGAGGTTGAAGAGAACATTATTACCCAAATCACAGCACTTTAAAAGTAGTTAAGTACAGCATGAAGCTTATACTTTTGCAGGAGGAAATGTTAGCTGGAATTTTGATGTAATATCTACACCCAGGAAGCACACCTGATGAAGCAACGTTTAACTTTACCATATACCTTTTCGAAGAAGGGCAGATCAAAAGTATTCTTAAATAATTATATAATATGGCTGCATGGAATATATAATATGGCTGCATGGAAACCCCACATGTGATTAGGGAGATAGAAGAATTCCATCAGAAACTGAAACCAGAGCAGAAATTCTCACAACTTGCATGTTTGTCTGAGGTCACTAACAGAAATCATGCAATAGGAGTGCTTGATGCAATTGTTGTTTTTTTCAGTCAGCAAACATTATGTGAATAATGTTATCTTCTACATTGCTTTTGACGCTTCTCTTCCACTGAAATGCACTAAAATTAATTACATAATTAACTGCAAAAGCTTCTTCCCTAGCAGAGAGTGAGACAAATAAAGTAAAAAAATGTCCACAGGACTTCTCGGTTTCAGGATCTTGCGCCAGTTTTTTCACTGCAAAATATCAAAAACAGCCTTCTGCATGAGCCACTGAAAAATAATAAACTGACAAAAAGACTTAAGCGAAGGAGTACAAACACAGTCTATTTTTGCCTGGGGATATAGCTGAATGATCAGAACATAAACAAAGAGGTGGGGGGGAATAACATTTTCCCAAAGCAATGACATCTGGCACCCAGGAGTAGGTCAGCACATTTGCATAAGGCTTGCCTTTGGCTAGAGAATATAATAAAATAATTTGTGCTGCATATGCCTCCTCCCTAACTAGCCCTTACTCTAGCATAAAATGAAACAATTCCCCAAGATCTCCAGCTGCTCTTGCAAAAAAAGGGAAGGCGAGTTTCATAGAAAGTGTTCAGATTTTTAGGAAGCTTCCATCTGCCACTCTACTGCCTTATCAGTAATATTTCTGGCACTACTGTGTTGTACTTCAAGGATGACCAGTCCAAGGGAGCCTCCAGTGACTCAGTTGTAAAGGTTCTGAACTACTGCACAATTTTTGTGCGTACACAAAACTGACAGATGCCGTTCCCCGAACATCTCAGCTGAGTTTTGTTCAAACTGTCTTAAACCAGTATGACTGCCCTTTGTTTGGAGGATATAATCAGAAATACTTGCTTTGATCCTCAGTTCCTTATAGCCAATTTTATAATGAGCCGGAGTGATAAAAAAGGAAAAAGAAGGTCATGGACCATTGGTAAAATGTGACTGGATAAAATCCCAGTGCTAGAATTCAGTTCTGAGATATACAAGGAAATTTTGGGGGAACGAGGAAGCATTAGGACAATGCTCCCCAGCAGAATTCACACAGAAGACTAGAATTTTCTGAGTAGCGAGTACAGCATAGGGAAAATCCCAAAGGGCTTCTGAGATGCCTCTTAGAGGTTTCCTACATATATCTGTAGAAACAAGAACAGGCAGGATGCTGGGTTTTTCTTTGGTGAACCGTCTCCAACATAGGAAATAGGAGGAGACTGAGAGGAGATCTGATAGCCACCTTCAAATATCTAACTGGCTGTCACATGGGGGATGGAGGAAATTTGTTTACTCCTGCTTCAGAGGGTAGGACCCAAACCATTGGATTCAAGTTACAAGAAAAGAGGTTCCAACTATACACCAGGAAGAACTTTCTGGCAGTAAGAGCTGTTCAACAGTGGTCATAAACCATGGTTTGTGGAGAAGCCAAGGTCATAAACCATGGTTTGAACTAGCCATAGTTTAAACTAACCAGAGCTCCCCCACGTTTGGATGCAGTAGGGAGTTCTGATTAGTTTGAAAGCAGACTGCTCCTGACTGCCTCCTTGCCATCATAGCAGATGAGATGGGGGTATGGCGTTCAAACCCATGGCTTGTTCATGTAATGTGAAACCATAGTCTGCAAAGACTCTGTGCTGTATTGGTTAATGGTCTTGTAAACAAACACCTAAATTTTGTTCTCGGAAATAAGCGTTACACACCATGCAGCATTTGAATTTTCACAGCTGTTTGCCAAGGAACAGGCACAACCATAGCACTGACGCGCTCTTCATTCAGCGCAGCTTATGAACACTTACATATGCACAGCTTCCAATATCCTTTGCAATGATTTTCAACGGAATGCTCTTGGGATAGTCTTTTTCCTTCTCTTCCTTGATACGGCTGTCAAAGCAAGCAGAAATGGAGTTGTTTAACAAAACAGAGATTGAAACAACAGAATAATAGAAGGGAAAACATGTTATGTTGATGCTCTAAATGCGAAGAGCTCTTCTGAAACGGCTTGCCTCTAAAAAGCACCTTTAAAATGAGAAGGACCTCTTCTACACAAATAGTTTGATTATTCCCTTCAAATGGTAGATTTGGAGTCTGCAAAATTAAATCCTATTCAGTAAGAAAAGCTCCATCCAATTTTGCTATCTAAGCAACATGCCAGTTTCTCTAATCTGCTTTCACAAAACTTTTTCCATTTCTGGAGGTACAAAATGAAACTACATATCAACAAGATGGCAACAAGGAACTGTCCTAGGTTCAAAATGACAGACAAGACTTTGTATGGTCTATTATGGATAATGTGGCAAAACAGAAATACCTTTGTAGGAAAGTAAGCCACTTCTCTTTCTGCTCGATGGAACTGAAACAAAGAAAAACAAGTTTTAAATGATAGCTATGTACCACATTTCCCAACTTAATAAAAGCTTTAGAATCAAAATTTCGAAGTAGATCATTCCCTCCACGCCCAAGCTGAGAGCTAGCTGAGAAACTAAACTGGTTGGATGAGGCCAGCTGGTAAACGGCACCCAAAGCTGTGGCCTTAGCAAGCGACCCATCACTTCATGTACCTCTTGTCTTTGTATCTTTTCATCTCTCAGAAAGTGTTTCAAAGCCTCCCATGGATTCAGAGGATGTTAAGGGAAGTATAAATTGCTTCCACATCATGCACTTCATAAATATTTGGACTTTCCTTTACAACAACTCTTGTAAAATTCTTCAAATGCCCTCTTTACCTCCCATTGTGAATGGCTTGGCTTACATAAAATCTAAAATTCCCTTTTTAACAGAGGCCATCATATTTATAAAGTCAGACTATTTCAGAGTCAACAAAAGACAGCCAAGAAAAAGTACCTATTAAAACATGTTTTTTCACTGACATATAAAATCAAAGCTACGCTATCACCATAAACCAGAACCTACTTACTCTAAAATTGTAAAAGTGGAGATCAGTGAGATTCCGATTAAGTGGGTTGTGGACTGCAGCATAGACAATCAAAGCTTTTCTGTCAAATTTATTTGGCAAGAAATAAAAGAGTGCCACCTTATACGTTATCTCTAGAACAGACATTGCCATTTATAAGCCAGGCTGCCAATCTGTTTCCAGGCTTGATTCAAGGTACATACATAGTCCTGGCCTGGGACAGAATATCTCAGAGAAAAAGCCTTCCACATACAAGCCTGCCCTATACTGTCACTCATATTCCAAGTATCTTCTTAGGGGATCCTCCTGCCCCAGTCTTCTCCAATAATGAAAGCAAAAATATAATCTTAACCTAGAATTAGAGATACCAAAGGGTATGATAAAAGCTTGGATTTAACTCAATATAATTAGACTTCATTTTGCTGTTGTTAAAAATAAAGGTTTTATTATAGACTGATGAAGTGCCAATGGATTTCTAGAACAGAATGACAGAAGTTCACTGGATAGAATCCAACACTGCACAACTGTATCTCCCACTCATGAAATGGGACTTCAACTTCTTATGTTTGCCCTGAAGACCTCTGCACACTCTAAAATCTGCTCCCCAACCCTTCAGAGCAGATTTTGGAGGTGAAGTCCATTCCATAAGGAGAAATTCATTTCCTTCAGGCATGGACAGTAATTGATACTAGTACCTGAAGGGGTCCAACCTATCTTACGTCTTCTCATCTCTCTTGCCCTTCTTGGCTGTAAAAAGTGAATCGGGGGGACTGACCAACTGGCTCAACTGTTTCCCTTTTCTGCTCTATATCCATTGCGGGGACCACCAGGAGGACCTCAATAGCATCCCTCTACCCAGAAACTCTGGAAACTGAAGCTCTGTGACAACGGTGACGACAGATCTCTAACAGAAATCTCAGCAGCCTTATCAAAATGGCAAATTTCCAGAATCTTTTGAGAGAAGCCTTGACGGTCAAACTGTACAGGCAGAAGGTCTATACCACAAATGCACCACAAAACCATGAGAAAAGTAAGTATGACTTGCATGTATGTAAATTATAATTTCATGTGCATTTGAAGAACTGCCACAAAACTGTTACTTTGAAAAGCAAGACCCAGAGGGGTCCACTCATTCCAAGCTGCAGAAGGAATCATGATTCGGCACCAACTTCATTTGCGCTATGAAGGGTCTCTCATTGAGGTAATTCATAAAAAAAGGGTACTGGGTATTTTCAACTCTTGGTCATTCATGAACTTTAACGCTGTTGGATGAATGCAGGCAGGAAGGGGGGGGGCAACCAATGCAAATAGTCTCTCATACCTGAAGCTGGCAACACAGTTGGTGGTGGGCCATCCTAAAACAAAAGACTTCTCCAGGTCAGTGCTACCCTCACAGACCTCTTCCAGGCAAGAAGCTGTCCACATGTCACAGAGACGCGCCTGGCTCTTCAGTTTGAAATGCAAGTGTGACCTGTAATTAAAAGAAGCCTGTTATAGTACATCCCTGGCAACTGAAGGTTAGAAATAACGATGAAACAGGCACATTTCAGCCAGCGCAAAACTATAAAAACAATGGACTCTGTTAGAACCACACACAGGAGTTGCAACTGACACAGCCCTGGAGGCAAAAAGGGTGAACTAACAGATGATCACCAATTCAAAAATGGGCTTCGTTGGACCTGACCAAGTTCTCTAGTGAAACAAAGACTGCTGCCAAATGATGCATTTCAAGAAAAACAGTGAATCCAGGAGTATATATCTGCCCTTACAAGTGGAAACAAGGGTAATCTCAACGCCATGTCAAGAAAGGTCAGAGAATGTTCTGATGCCACTTTGGTATTCAAGCCACTTCGAGTCATTTGGTACAAAAGCAGCTCATTAATATAAATGAAAATGAAAATGAACACACTTGCTGACCTCAGGCTCTCTGTTGTGTGTGAAGCCTGGTGTGGAAGCATAAAAAGGCTGACATAGGAAGTATGGGGAAGGTCACATGTACTTGGCCTTTCCCTCAACTCTTGTCAGAAGTGCATCAATGGGACAAGCAGGCTTACCAGACACGGAAGAGACGCCTGAATTGAGCAAATTCACAATTTTGCTGACTATTACTGCTTTGTGTGGTTTTGCTGCTGATATTAGTATTGATATTTCTAATTTGCCTTGCTTTTGGTTGGTTATATTGTGTTTTTATACTGCAACCCACTTTAGACATCTCTGCTTTTATATATGCAGGCCCCATCAACCAAAATGCTGATGGGAGAGTGCATTAGGAGTTCAGAGAAGACCTAACTTCCAGTGGGTGTTCAAATAGCCTTCTTTAGCAGTCACTTCTGTCTGGAAGTGTTTGACTTATTGTTATCTGATGCATTAGAAACTGAGAGCATGCCTTAATCCCCCCATACCATACACACACATACCAGTCATTCTCATTATAAGGTGCTGTAGCTGATCTCTATCACAGGGTAAGGAAGATCTCACATTCAAATAAATGTGGTATCTCTCCATGTTCTCGTTATGGGGAAGGTACACATGAGCCTTAGTTCCACATTCCCAGTCTCATTTCAAGAGGATTCCCAAAGGCTAAGCAAGGGCAGAACAAACCCTGGGAGGGATAGGCAAAGCGGAATTCCTTCTTTGGTATTAGTCTAATTTGCAGTACAAACAACATAGGACACATTCCGCAATCTAGATCTCCAATGTGAAAGCACTTGACCCTTGTGGATTTCAAAGGACTGACCTACATTTATGATGCTCTTACTTTTCCAAAGCTTTTAATATCTCGTCTGTTAACAGCTGTGGCTGGATGCTGTGCCGCAGAGGAACTGGCACCAGTTCAAATATCCACAGATGTAAACATAGCTCTGGACACAACTCACTGGGAAGAGCCTCACCGAAATGAACAGGAGATGGGCAAGATCACAGCCGTTCCATTAGACAATTCTCTCAAGTTCCACTGATGTTTCCCCAGGCATTCTAGGTAGACAGTGCCTTCTGAGAACCATTCTTCTGTATTCGCTATCATAGCTCCTGCTCCTAGTTCAGCATTTAATGTTGAAATTCTCAGGGGTTAATGTGATGCAGAAAATGGCAGTGTAAATCAGCAGGAGTATAGAGCATTCCTCCCAATGAGAAATGATTACAAGACTGGGAGATATTTTGGTTTTTTTAAAAGGTAAGTAAGTGGGAGATACATATATGGTTTGGAAAAACTAGATAAACAAAAGTTTATCTTCTTCTCTCATGGTATGGGAACCCAGGGCATCCAATGAAACTGAATGTTGGGACTAAGATAAGGTGCCACAAGACTTTGGTCACATCCACACCAAACCTCCCTTCTTCTGCTATCTCAGTTTCAGATATTTCATTTCTGGGAAATGTTATATTCTTATGGCTAAATTTTTTTCCTTGGCAGGGATCATCCCAGGAAAATCTGAGATACACAGCTTTTCCTCATCACTTTGTCCCCATGCCAGGAAAACCTTCATTTTATCTGTTAAATTTCCACATAGTGAGCAGCCATTAAAGCCACAGAAGCAAAATCCAAAAAGTTGGCAGCTATAAAGTTCTCTTGAACACAGAACGCCAAGCCGACAATTAATTGTCTAATTAAACAATTAAAAGCAGCTCAGTTCTTTGTTGAAACCACTTCAACACAAATTGCCTGAATCAACAACAGTACAGAGGAGGTTTACAATAATGGAGTCGGTACTAATGGCCATCTCCTAGGAGCCAACCTCGAATAAAATCTGAATAAGAACCGACATTTCAAATCCACTAAGTAAACCTCCTACCCCTCTTTTTTTTTGCAACCAATCACAATGTGAAGGGGAAAGCAAAAAGTAGCTATGTTGCTTTGTTTAAAATATCCTTCCAAATCTGCTGTTGGGAAATGCCCTTATTAGGAACAAGCAGAATGTCACAAAATTGTGGAAAGATTTGAGTTCTTAGAACTCTTAATCAGGCAAGATGCTACACAGGAAGGAAAAATAAAGTATAAAAATCAAGTAGGATGTTGTAGTCATGAGATCAGCTTGTAGACAAAGTTCCAAGATGCAAATTGCAAGCTGAGTAAGTTCCTCCCAGGTGCTATAGATACCACATTACACACCTAGGACTATGGGCTAAAGCAACAAGAGCTGCTCCCAATTTCTGATAATATGAAATCTTGCTTTTAACCCAGATCTGCCCCATGCTCAATTGGTAATTTACTTTTAATGAGCATAATTCAAATGAACATTACTCTAATTCCTATGGAAATAGCATATTTAGACTAGTGCTTCCAAGAGTTTCTTTAATTGCCTCTGTCCACTGCCTCACGTGTATCATTACCTCAGTTCCCCCCGCCATATGTTTTCAGTTCTATTCAGTTATAGCCCCATCTTTGTGGTGACCGTGTCTGTGAAATGCCCCAATTCACCAAAACTTATGTCCTTGCTTCCTCAGCACAGTCAAATCAGTTGTGTTCTAGACAGTAACTGTTCTGGTTGATGCTCCCATTTCTATAGCCCTCTTCAGAAATCACACCCATATGTTTGACCAGTCTGAGAGGGGGTATTACTGACTGACCCTACCCTCTGGCACCTGTACATATAGCACACCTGTAGCAAAAAAAGACTTTACAGCTGAACACACAAGGGTGCCATGTGATAATGAACTGTGAAATGGCTCCTGATCATGTGATTTTTTAAAAAATAATAATAATATATGTTTTATTGGTTTTAAAAACTGTGTAACCTAAGTAATCAACAGAAAATAAAAAGAAAAAGAAAAATACCGTATTTTTCGCCCTATAGGACGCACCGTCCCATAAGGCGCACCTAGTTTTTTGGGGGGGAAATAAAGGGGGGGAATTATTTCCCCCCCCCAGGCATGAGGCAACTCTCCGCAAGCCGCGGGAGCCCAGCGCGGGCTCCCATGGCTTACGGAGATCTGCGCGAAGCCTGGAGAGCGAGAGGGGTTGGTGTACACCGACCCCTCTCGCTCTCCAGGCTTCAGCGAAAGCCTGCATTCACCTCTTAGGACGCACACACATTTCCCCTTCATTTTTGGAGGGGGGAAAGTGTGTCCTATGGGGCGAAAAATACGATAAACAAACATTCATTCCATAGTTGGTGCTTGTTTTATGTAACAATTTGTAGTTGGATTCAACAGGACCTCCGGTCCCCACATTGTGGTTCCCAGATTACATTCTTTATCTGCACACTAAATGTTTGTCTCCTCTAGGTTGTTTCAATTACATTAATTTTATAAGATTCTCCTATTACATGCAGAAAGTCAGTCCAGACCTGCCAGTCTAATTTGGATGCGATAGCTTCTCCTTTCCAACCTTTTGCCATGAAAATTCTGGCTGCTACTGTAGCATACATGAAAATTCTCCTGAATTTCTTTGAGATTTCATTACTCATTATTCCTAGCTGGAAGGCTTCAGGCTTCTTGGGAAAAGAGCATTTAAGCATTTTTTTTTAAGTTTGTTATAGATCATGTCCCAAAATTCTCTGATCTTTTTACAGTTCCACCACATGTGGAGCAATGTGCCTTCCACCTCCCTGCATTTCCAACAGGTGTTTCACCTAGATCTGAACATTTTGGCCAGTTTGACAGGTGTTAAATACCACCTATAGAGCATTTTCATGCAGTTCTCTTTTAAATCATAGCATGCTGCAATTTTTTTTATCTTCCCTCCAAAGCCTCTCCCAGATCATGTGAATTTTTCACATATACAGCTTCTCTGCTACAGATGTTCAGGCTGCATATTCAGATGCCAGAAAGAGGGGCTAATTTGTGTATTGATGGAATCCATGAGGTGTTATTTCTGAAGTGGGATTAAGTCTACACTCATTCTTGAACTTTTCCTCCCATATCTTTGCCAGATATGCAAATGGCCAGGACCGAAGGTGAAGTTATGGCTGCCAACATCACAAAGGCCCTCAAGTTTCCTGTAAGCAGGGGAAAGCAATTGCCATTTCCTTATGAACTACATACAGGTGAGGAACATCTGAACTTCTAGATGAAAAGTTCCCCAAACACATTATTTATCTTAATGTACCCCTCTTGTGTGCTTTAACACAGCAGTTTGCAAGGAGAATGCTGACACACAGACTCAGAGGTATGGATTATAACATAAAAATACTAAGATCTAATGTAGTGGATTAGAATGTAAAAACAAGATAGCAAAAGAAACAAGAGGAAGCAATTCTGCATTTATGAGTAAACATATATAGAACTGTTCCGCCTGAAATTAATTAAAATTTGCACAGAAGCAATATGGGAGTCTGGTATTCTGATAAACATCAACAGTTACTTTGTCATGGAGATGCAGATTTTTCCCGTCAGAATTTCTTTCTTTGAGGCACATAAGTCACCATTCCCCCCCAAGAACCAAGTCATGTAACTCCTGTCACTTCTGAGTACACAATCAGAGCCAGCCTTTGATTATATATCCTGTGTATCAGCAACAGACCTGGCAATCGCCTTTTTAATTAACACCTTGCTCTCTTCACTTCTTGGCTTTCAAAAACGTTAAGAATGCCTCAGCATTCAGTTGTGCCAGGCAGTCTGTCAATCAAAGCCACTTGGATGTGAACATGAAAAATACAGGATATGATGTCCGTATTCCTTTATCACCACTTTTGACCATCAAGGATGCATTGGGTGAACCTATCTGTGACTGTATCAGGGCTACATGCAATGTTTCCCATAGATTAACTAGTTACCTTATTTTTTCGTGTATTAGACGAGGTTTTTTTTACCTCAAAATAAAGTAAAAAAATGGGGGAGGTCATCTTATACATGGGAAGTTGCCTCCGCAAGCAGGATCTAGCGAATGGGTGAGTGAATGGTGTCTGCTACAATGGCTGCTTTTCTATTGGCTGCTGCTTTATCAATCGGGTGGATTTATTTGTGGATGTGTCAAGGGCTGCTTTGGATTGGCTGCTGCTGTGTCAAATGGATGGGTTATTAGCTTGCATTGCTTGCGATTGTTAGCATATGCCAGTTGGGTGACATTTGGTTTGGCACCCCCCCCAATTGCTCATTTTCTTAAATGTGAGCCCCCCAAAATAGGGGGCGTCTAATACATGGGGGCGTCTTATAGATGAAAAGTTTGGTATTTGATGTTTCCTTTCTTAAAATACCAACCTATTTCCCCTCCTTGTCTCCTTCTTCATATTTCTAATAAAATCCTTCTTTAATTTGGCTTTGGGGTTCAGAGTTCATTTGCGACAAGTTCAGACGGCTGTGAGTTCGGGTAAGGAAATCTATCTAGTTCTTAATAATGAGTGGTTTAAAAACAAAGAGAGCTCCTATCGATAACTATCTCATAAACAGATTTATTTGAGTGAGTAGTATTCATATAAACTTTACTAGCGCAGACCCACTAAAAGTAATGGATGTAACTTAGTCATGTTCATTCATTTGAATGGGTCTGCTCTGAGTAAAACTTCATTCAATACCACTCTCTGCTTTGTTATCACGAATACACCCTTTTGCTTTAATGATCTTGTATTAGCAAGACCTGTTTGGAAGATGCTCCGAAACAGAAGGTGAGAGCACCGAGGAGTCTGGGTAAGCCGTCTGTGTGCAGTCGGGCTTGACACTGAGCTTGGATTATTCACTCAGCCATACACAAATTAAATCAAATTTACAAGCTGGAGCTCTAGCATTCCAGCCTCCTGTAGTGCTTGTGGTTTCAGGCAATCCTTGGGGGTTCTTTCACATGTGATTATATGTGAGGAAGAAGCTAAGAAGGAAAAAGCCTGATGTCGTATAGTAAGTGTTGCACTGCCTTCCCCAATTTGGTGTGTTCCCATCGTCCATGGTGGAAGTGAAAAACATCTGGAGGGCACCAGGTTGGGAAAGTTTGGTATAGTAGGTAGGACCATCATTGGTTTATTGATATACCACTTTTTTGCCTCCAAAGTAGTGAACAGATTAATACAAAAAAATACAACAAAACTACCGTAAGTACAGATACAAATGCACAATTAATAAATACAATGAAATCATAAAATAGCAAACCCCCAGTCCCACCGTGAACGGGCTTCCATGGGCTGCATTCATGCACTCGCCACCAGTGCAACTGCCCAAGCAATAAACTTCTTCCCTGGAAACAGCTACAGTTGTGGCTAAGTTCTTACAAGAAGATGGGAGGTGATATGGAATGCAATGCTGCAACTGACTCCTGAACTACAGTTATGCCTTCATTAGCCCAAAGTCACAGAGTGACTGGGTTTCCAAGGTGCTAAAAATGCATGCTTAAATTAGGGATCAGAGTTCTCAGCAAAGCAGGGTTGTTCTCACATTTTTAAAATAGTTATTAGATGATATTTGCATTTGCAGTAACTAAAAAACTGTACAGGGCCCTATTGCAACAACAAATGAGCTGGTTGTTCCTCTGTTACACGTGGATTTGTTTGTGAAAGCTTTAAATAATAATGCTCAAAAGTGACACGTTAAGCAAGTTAAATAAAAGGGCTCCTTTTAAGTGCCATGTGCAAAATGTACACTCTTGTTAATAGAACTGGACACACTTTTTACTTCCAAGTCAGCAGTGGCTGTAGCTATCCCCATGTATTAGGTGTAATAAATCTGGCTAAAGAAATAGTAATAACCAGGTAACTACAGGAATGTTCTGAGCTTCAAACCCCAGAACAGTAGTTTGTAAAGAAAGAAAATTATCAGGAATCACAGAGAGTCCTTTCTTCAGTACTGGACCTACTTGGGTTTGGCGACCACAAGAATATCTGTAAAGAGGAAAAGGTGTCGCTCCTGGGTCTGCAGGCCCGTCTTCAGCTGCACATGTCCATCCATAAGGAATGTTCTGCTGGGACAAAGGAAGGACTGCACCAGCGGACATGTCTCTGGACTGATGGGAGAGAAGCAACTTTCCCTGTAGCAAATGTGAAAGGAAGACAGTGTGAGCTGAACCAAAGAATCCACATCCCATCCTTGTCCACACAGCAATATGAATGAAGAAACCATTTCAAATTGGAAATCCAGCTGAGAACCAAACAAGTTTCATGTACTCAGAACAGAGATGAAATTCAGGGATCATTTCAGGGATCAGAACAGGATTTCCTCCAAACTCTGACAAAAAAAAATCAAATCTTTGAAAGTGGTTACTCAGAACCTATTTAGAAAAAAACCCCCACAAACTCTTATTTGAATACCAGTGACACCCCACGCAACACCCTCCAGTGTTAATTTCACCATCGAAATTTACTAAATTCCTATTCTTGAGTTTTATCCAAGTTTTGATTTACCGTATTTTTTGCCCTATAGGATGCACTTTTTCCCCTCCAAAAATGAAGGGGAAATGTGTGTGCGTCCTATGGGGCAAATGCAGGCTTTCGCTGAAGCCTGGAGAGCGAGAGGGGTTGGTGCAGCCCTCGTGCAGCTCTCTGCAAGCCATGGGAGCCCGCGCCAGGAGAGTTGCCTGCATGCTGAAGCCTGGGCACGCTGAGCTCAGTGTGCCCAGGCTTTGCGCTGGGCTCCCGCGGCTTGCGAAGAGTTGCCTGTTCTGGGGGCTGGGGTCGGGAGAAGCTCGGGCTTCCCCCGCCCCAGCCCCGTGCCTGGGGGGGAAATAATTCCCCCCCTTTATTTCCCCCCCAAAAAACTAGGTGCGCCTTATGGGACGGTGCGTCCTATAGGGCGAAAAATATGGTAGTTACCCGTATCATAGATGTGTGGGGCAATATTTATTTTATCTTTGGGAAAACCCAGTTTTGTCCCCAGCTTTCCTTTACCCAGATTTTTACACACACACACCCCTTCTGCATCTGGCTGTGCACACAGTTTCCCAGAAACCTCCATCCTTCCCCACCCAATCCTATTTACTGGGAACAACAACAATCGAAACAGCTGACCACCCAAAGAACTTTGCAGGAACGTTCCCTGAGTGGAGAGACTCATGCTGTGTTTGGATGCTTCTTGGCTTCACCACCCTGGTGTTTGTTATGGCCCTTGCTGAGTGCAGCTGGATTATTCAGAGGTGTCTAATGACAATGCTGACTTGGGAGACCCTAACAGCTGGTGCTGAGAGGACACAAACTACAACCACAGGGAGGATGCAGATAGCTGCTGCCTGACTGTGAGAATCCAGCCTTATCATTTGTTTGTTGGGTCAAAAATGCTGTATTTTATTATTTCTTAAGTCTGGTGAATATTTTCCAGTTTGGATCAGATCTGCCATTTTTAACCACTCTGCAAAATTGACAAAACCTTCCTCTCCATATACCACAGGCCCCCTTCTCTTCAAGAAGAAGAACAGTGAATCAAGAAACCCTGTCCCAATCTGAGTCCTTGTCATTATCTTATTCCACCCCATGATATTAATCTAAATTAGGGATAGGCAACCAAGGTGCCCGCCGGATTTTGTGAGACTCCCAGCCAGCCAGCCAGCATAGTCAATCATCAGGAATAACCGTGCTACAAAGCTGCTCAGGAAATTTTTTCCTGGCCCCACCTGGCTAGAGAGAGTGGGTGGGATAGAAGGAAGAGTGGGGATGACAAGAGAAAGAGCAGAAAGGAGAAGAACGTAGGAGAGGGAAAAGAAAAGGGGGCGGGGAACAGTTACGCAAAAAAAGGAGTTCGCTCAGAGCTCTCATAAACCTGACCATTCCACTCATGAAGCAGGGCTGGTCTGGGGAGAGTGGGGTGGCCCCTCACCCAGGGTGGATCATGGATGTAGATAGACGCGGTAAGGCTAGCTGGTGGGAGAGGCACTCTTAGTCTCAAACCTGGGGAATGAAGATTGTAATCCAGGCACATCTGAAATGCCACAGGTTCCCTACGCCTGACCTAAACAATGAAAAGTAGGCCTGTGGTCACCACTAGTGCCCATTAATGGATAGGCTGTGCAGCCCTTAGACTAAACAAAGGTTATAAATGATGTGCAATTCATCAAGCATGACTAAAACACTACAGATTACATCTTGAGACAACTTTTGAATTTGGATGGTGCAACCCCCTTCCATTACCACATTATTTTCCTGGAAGGCCTCTGCACCTTGAAGGCCTCTATGACAACGAGTCAATAGGTGAAGCACCAGAATACTATAATGCAGTGTTCAAACTGTGTTCTAGGAAACACTGGGGTTCCTTCCATACTTAGCTGGGTTCCTTCAGTGGGAAGATCAGTAACAATGAATAAGATTGCCCATCACTAGTGACCTTCCTGTTTGCAAGTGAATATGGGGTGTGTTCTAGGTTGCTTGTTCAGTTCATGTAAATCAACAGGGAGGCCCAGAAGAGCGGGCCCCGCATTAACTGTGTATGCAACCTTATAACACCCCCGAATCCTCTGCAACACACTAGCATTCCACAGCAGATGTTCAAAGGTTTTTTGACAAAGTCGTATGGAAATGAAACCCTGAAGCTAAAGTGTAAAGGAAATGGCATCTGTTGAATTCTTGCTTGGCATTCTGCTGTTAAAGAGCTACAGCAGAAAAACTAGAAATAAATAGCAGTCCTTCAAGTAAGCTCAAGTAGAAAAAAGTACCCATTTCTGAAGACATAGGGACATTACTTCAGAAACAGGGAGAACCTTCAATTTATCATCTTTTTTCTTTTCTTCATTTTTTTAAAAAGATAGTAAATGCACAAAGAAGTTTTTCTACTCTTCTTTGCTTCGTGCATTTGGGTCATACCAGGGTACTGAACTCCGATTATTAAGATAATGGGGATTTCAGCATTTATGGAAACTTATTCAAGAATTATTTTTTATGGTACACTTTGGTTGCACAATGTGTTCGGGATTTTCGGTCTCATTTCGATATTTGCCTGGCAAGTCTCCCATGTTATGTACAAAAGCAAGAAGAAATCATTAAAGCTTCAAATTTCACATGCTAAACTGGATGGAGTGATAATGTCTGAACGGTGTGCTCAAACTGGGAGGTGAGAGACAAGCAGAGGAAAGGGTAGTTGAGGTGAGGTGAACAATTTTGAAAGCCTTTATTACTAAGAAATCCTGTAACAGCCAAGGTTCAGGACGTTCACAAATAGTAACTGTAACCCCAGTGGGATAATAAGCAATTTCTCCTTTTTTAATTCTTGCATTATTATCCAGAAGGGCAAATATGCATAAAGAGGTTTTTCAGGTGCAGTGTGAAGAATGCAGCAAGTGTAGAAAGGCCCCATCTGCAGTATTCATTTAAAGCAGTATAACATCACTTTAAACAGTCATGGCTAGCCGCAAAGGATCCGTAGAACTGTAACCGTAGAAGCTGAGAGTGGTTAAAAGACTAGTCCCATCACAGAGCTGCAATTCCCAGAATTCCCTGGGAAGTGAGATTAACTGCTAAACCACTGCTTTAAATGGGGCCAAAGGGTGTGCGCAGTTTTTGAGAGCTACTTTATTAAAGCCAAAGTAACATGCAATAAAAAAGCAAAGTCGAAGGGTTAAAGCTTCAATCAAGTGTACTGTGGAACATTTGACGGAGAAATATTACGCACCAAAGGGTGTAAAGAAACAAAGCTCTTCTCTCTCTTTTCAAACTATTTGTTTTTACTTTATTCATAAAATAAGAAAATGGACAGAAATGCCACCAACTGAGGACCCCCACCACCACGTTCCAGGCATGTGCAGATCATACCATTTACAAAAATAAAATAAAATCCTCCAAAATAAATAGTAACGTAAACAGGGAGGAATTGAGAAGCCTGCTCTCATCCCTCATTTTGATATCAACTCATACGAAGTAAAACATTCAGAACATACTTGCTTGAACTAAAGCCAAACCATTTAGAATGTACATAAACAGAAGCATATTTACTAGACCCTAAGATAAAATCATGCTGAAGTTTCTGTATACTTAAGGGGGACGGGGGAAGCAACCAAGCCAATATGCCAGACTGGCTTGGCTCCTACCAACTTTGACTTGATCGGCAATCTTCTCCATCAACAAAATAAATCATACAATATCCTAAGGATGTAAGAAAAGCCTGGGTATATCAGGCCAAAGTCCCGTATCCTGTTCCTTATGGTAGCTAATTAGACGCCTATCTATGAGAAGCCCACAAGCAGGGCGTGAGGGCAGCAGCCCTCTTCCACTTCCAGCACTTTGTCTACACCAGGCATCCCCAAACCCGGCCCTCCAGCTGTTTGGGGGCTACAATTCCCATCATCCCTGACCCCTGGTCCTGATCCTGATCCTGGAGGAGGTGTAAGCTCACAGGCTGAGGTAAGTGGCTGAGTGAGTCACTGAAGAGCCATTTCCCATTTCCACCACCCACTGGGGACCCAACAGCAAGCAAGTTGGAGAGCATCAGCAGGCATCAGGGTGGACTGTTATCAAAGGTCACTTCCAAGTAATTCTATTGGGTTGACATAAGGGAAAGGGGCACATCCTGTGTTTTTATCCTGAGCTTTTGGGACTTGCCTAGGGTCCCAAAAGGTGTAGGGAAAGGGTGTTAGATTCTTTATCGTTAGTATTTTAAGTATTCTTTCTTATAAACTATTAATACTTTAAGTATTCTTATTTTTTTAAAAAAACGAAGAGAAACAAAGGTTTTGTCATTAAATGACATTGATTATTTATTCACCCAGAACCCCTGAATTTTTAGTGTGTGTGTGTGTGTGTGTGTGTGTGTGCGCGCGCGCGATAGAAACCTTAATTTTTCTAGTTGAGGTAAGCTTTTGCTTAATTCATCTCAACATTTTTTATTTATTAGTTGCTTGTCACCCAAAGGCTCTTCAAGTAACTTACACTAGACCTTGAAAAGCAGTGGAGAGGGGTATATGACACATTAATACATCTGGTGAGGAATAGCTCAGTCGGAAGAGCATGAGACCCTTCATCTCAGGTCAGGGTTGTGGATTCAAGCGCCACATTGAGCGAAAGGTTCGTACATTGGAGGGGGTTGGACTAGATGACCCCCGTGGTCATTTCC